TGTAACAGCCCTCCAGGTGATCCTGACACACGCTCAAGTCTGAGAATCCACTTGGGGTGTGCAGGGGTCGCCCAGAGGTGGTCCTGGATGCTGCTGAGCTCAGTGTGGTGCTGGTTAGAGGGTGCCTACTGTGAGTCCTCTTCCCACATAACCCGCAGCCTCCCCAACAAATGAATGCTGAGAAGACAAGGAAAGTCTGGTTTTTTGAAGGGGGTCCAAATTATTAGTCTGTCCAACAGTCTTCCTGCACATCTCATCTGTCCAACTGGTTTCTGGACCAAGGGGCCCTTTGGGTGAAGAACCGTCCAGAAGGGAGAGGGGAAAGAGTGGAGCCGGGGTCCTCCAAATGGGAATGGTGGCCGGTGAGTAATTAGAGCACATGTCCTGGCCTTTAGTGTCCATCTGTGGGCCTCAACACCCATGTGGCTTTTTCTTGTATCTTTTAAATACACATCTTACCTGAGAGTCACCTCATAGGAGATAAAGAATTCCCATTGAAAGAGAAACAAGCCACTGGCCAGCCTACTCTCCCAAACCGAAGACTTCATTTCCCAACCCTCTCCCTCAAAAAAAAAATCATTGATGACTTGAGCAGCGTGATTACCCTAGCAAAGCTGAGTGGCCCTAGGGATCCCTCTCCATCTGCGCACACTGGAGCTGATGAAACTGATCCAAGGAATTATGAAAAGCATTGCAGAGTAGTGTTTGCAAAAACCTTCTGGGGGAAGGCGCGTGCTCTGACATGGACATAAAGGACGCCCTAGGGCCGGCCCCGTGGCTTGGTGGTTAGGTGCGCGCGCTCCGATCCTGGCGGCCCGGGTTCGGATCCCGGGCGCGCACCGAGGCACCACTTCTCCGTCCATCCTGAGGCTGAGTCCCACATACAGCAACTAGAAGGATGTGCAGCTATGACATACGACTATCTACTGGGGCTTTGGGGGAAAAAATAAATAAATAAAATCTTTAAAAAAAAAGGACTCCCTGGAGTTCTGCAGCTGAGGTAACGTAGTCCGATGATGGGACATTTGGGCCCTGGCCTCAGTCCTTGGTTCACATGCCTGCTCAGCTACTTCCTTCCCGTGTGACCTTGGGCAGTAACTTACTTGAGCTTTAGTTTTCTCATCTGTAAAATCAGGGAGATAATGTAAGTCACAAGGTTGATGTGAGGATTAACTGAGAGTAATGAAGATAAATGTTAGTATGGTATCTGGCACGTGGTATGGCTTGAGTAAATGTTAGCTCTGTTAGAGCTGTGCTTTTCAAACCATGGTCACAACTGTTCATGATCTATGAGATCAATTTACTGGTTTGCAACAGCATTTTTTAAAAGAAATAAAAAATAATGCATTACACACTGGAGAATAAGTATGGTTGCATGAAACTTGGGGGGGGGCGCATCATGCTGGGTTGCAACAGAAAAGTGTTTTCTATTGTGGGTTGCAATAAAAAGATGTGTCTTCTCTCACTGTCTTCTCTCACTGACGAAGAGAGAGTGTTATCTGGCCATCTCTGAGGAGGGCAGGTTTGCGTGGGCTGCAGCATCTCTGCCTTGCTACATCTGGTGATGGAGGGAGCAGGGCGACCACCTGCTCTTGCTCTGTGGGTCTCAGCTGAGTCCTTACAGAGCGTTTGCTTGGGTCTCTGGAAGACTTAGTACTGATACGTTAATTTTGGGGCATTGGTGGATTTGTTCACAGATCACGACTTATGTGTCACCCAGGCAAACGAGGCCCGAAAGGCCCAGGCCACACACTCCCTGCAAGAGGTGCTGGCTTAGGCTGTTACCGTACCCTTACCAGGGGTCAACCATTCTTGTTCGCTTGAGCCTGAAGTCAGTATTACTGCTGCTTCTGCGAACCTCCAGCTTAAGGACTTTGCCTTCAGGACGCCTTCAAATCCACGCAAAGCTCAAAATTGAGTCCTGCCTGGAAAAAGAGACGGATTTGGCTCCTCCTGAGCCTGAGGGTCCAGACCCTCCTGCCTTTTTTATACATCAGATTCGTCTGGAATATTTTCTTCTCTCCAGACTCAGAGTTGACACTCCTTGGATGTTTGTCCATTCAGCTGCTGAGGAACTTCATCTGGTGGACACCGATTCATCGCTGTCTGGAGTACTTTTACGAGCTTGCTGAGGAGGTTGAGTATAACCCAAGAGGGCTCTTCTGGGAACACACCGTCGGAATGGAAAATAGTAATCCTGTGGTTCTTTTGCTTCATTTCTGTTTACAGCTTTTCTCTGCCTTTGAGATCAGCACAGGCAGAGTGAGAATTTGCAGTAGGACTGAAAACACGTTGGGCAGAGAGAAGACACCAATTCTGGTCCCGGTTCTCATGTGTGACCAGCAGGACAAGGCTTGGCCACTGTCATGGCCTCTCAACCTCTGTTTTCCCATCTGCCAAGTGTCAATACTTGGTTGTCATGAGGACCCACAGTCATGGCTGTGAGTGAACCCAGTCAGTGTGGATACAGCCAATCTGTCCTTCCTGGGTGTCCCCTCTAGCCTGGTCTGCCGCATGATGATGTCCCAGCTACCCTGCAATCATGGTTAAAATGCCTCTCTTGACATGCTGCAAATGATCACCCAGGAAGGAATGCAGGATCCCCAAAGCAATCACCTCGTGAGCCATCACTGCTTCTGCTAAGTGGGGAGGCCTGGCAAGGGGCCAGTCCGAGAGCAGTGCGGCATCCTGCACTCATGACCCACGTGAGGCTCCCTCGAGACTTGTGTCAGCAAGGTCCATTTTCTGAAACATCTTTTTTGTTCTGATTATAAAAGTAACACCTGCTCATTGGTGAAAACTTGGAATGTGTGGGAAGTCTACAGAAATACATACAAATCATCTAAACTCCTATCCCCCAAGGTGACCACAGGTTCCATGATGATGTCATGGTAACTTTACGTTCTTCCCTTGTCACCACGTAGACAAGATTTTCCAATGTCACGTGTAACTGTATTAACACCATTTTTTTAATAGGTGCGTAGTGTTCTGCTTTATAGAATAATTTTCTTAGCCACCATTATTGGACGTTTCAATTGTTTCCAACTTTTCGTTGTTATAATTCATTGTTTAAGACTGTTGCATAAATCTTTGTGTCTCAGATTGTTTTTCATTTTTTTAACTTTATTGTGAAATAATTTCAGACTTACAAAAAAGTGGTAAGAATAGTACAAAGAGCTCTCATATACCCTTCAATCTGTCTTTCCAAATGTAAACGTTTTATATAACCATAATACAAATATAAAAACCTGGAAATTATTGAAACAATACCATTAACTAATCTGTATGCTTTATTCACATTTCTCCAATTGTCCCACTGACGTCCTTTTCTGTTCCAGGATGCCAGGGTGCATCGTTTGTCGTGTCTCATTAGTCTCCTCCAATCCATGACAGTTCTCAGTCTTTGTCTTTCGTGAACTTGACTCTTTTTTTTTTTAATTGAAGTGAAATTCACAGAACTTAAAATTAACCATTTTAAAGTGTGCAATTCAGGGGAATTTAGTACATTTATAATGTTGCACAACCACCACTTCTACCTGGTTTCAAAACATTTTCATCAGACTTGGACTCTTGAAGATGATAGGCCAGGTATTCTGTAGACTATCCTTCGACTTGCGTTTGTCTGATGTTTTCTCATAATTAGATTGAGACGATGCATTTTGGGCAGGGGAACCACTGAGGTGACGTTGTCTCCTTCCCGGTGCACCGTATCTGAGGCACATGACGCTGATATGTCTCATTACTGGTGATGTTAACTTTGATTGGGTTAGGGTGATATCTGCAGTTTCCTTACTGTAAAGTTACTGTTTTACCCTTTGTAGTTAGTAAAGTATCTTATGAGCAGATACTTTGAGATCAGATTCTTTAAACTACAATTTTCTCAAAAGCCCAGAAACTTAAATCTCTGAGATGGTATGGGAAGAAAGAGTGCGGGAGAATTCAAGCTGGCCCAGGGTGTGGTTAGATCTCAGTCTATGTGTGTGCCTCAGTTTCTCTTTCTGCGTAACAGAAAGGATTATACCAGTTATGTGAGGATCTTGTGTGGAAAAGAAGAGAAAGCCACAACTAGGTACTCAGAGATGGTTCTGAGGCGGAGAGTCGTGTGAATGAGCAGTATCGTGCCTGGCAAACCCTCAGCCAATTCCTTTGGCTTTCAGAAGAGATGGAGAAGACAGAGGCCCCACTGGGGGGTAAAAGGCTCTGTGGAGGGTATTGTGGGCCTGGAGAGGTGGCCCAGCTGTGCTTTTAACTCCTTTGGGTTTCTGCCCTTACCCAACACCCTCTTTCTGTGGCCGGGTGGCTGAGTCGCAGCCGACACCCAGAGGCAGGTGAGTGGGCAGCTTGGGAGAGGCCACAGGTGTGTATGCTGCATGAGCAGACCTGACGCCGGCCTCTGCCTCCCCACGGTGACCCTGTGCACCTTCCAGCTGCCCGCTGCATGTTGGCACTAGCTGTACACACATCTGCTTCCTCATCTCACGTGTTTGTATCCTGTGCTCTCCGCTTAAGCCTGTCATCCTTCATGCCAAGTTTGCAGTGCCTACCATGGGGGGAGTGGCCTAGATACTTAGGGAGGGGTCATCTTTTTCACTGGTCTCGGGATGGGTGGCCCACTCATGCCCAGAGAGGCCTGGGATGTCAATTCTTGGTCCTTGGCCACTGGGCAGCCTGGCCCCTGTGCAGTAGCTAGCCTTGCTTGGTGAGGCTGGGCAAACCCTTGCACCTGTGAGAGGAAAGTGGGGGAGGCCTGGTGATGGGTGGGACCCAGGCCAGTTCCCCCGGAAAGCCCTGCTTGCTGTGCTGCTCCATGCCGCTCCCCACTCCGCCCCATCAGCCCTCGAAGGGCCTCCCAGGCCTGACCTGCCCACAACAGGCTGTGCCCCAGCAGCTGCATCCACCCATGCCCTGGGTCTCAGTGCTGGGCTGTGCCGGGCTGGGGCGTGTGCCTGAGGGGGCACAGCCCAGACCTGCTGACCCTCCCTATCCCATTGTCCCTCCAGGGCATTGAGCGCCTCAAACGGAAACAGCAGCCCAGGCAGCACACAGGCAGCTGGGAGTCGGTAAAGCAGACCTTTGGCGGGGACTTCTCCCTGAACTGGTTCAACCCCTTCTCCGGACCGTGTCACCCAGAGCCTCTGCGTGACAGGGACTGGGTGCGGCAGGTGGCATCGCTGTCAGACACCGACAACACAGAGACGACGGCGGAGGAGCAGTCGGAGGAGGGGAAGTACAAGGACTCTGTGGAGGTGATAGATGAGTAATGCTGCTGTGGGAGAGGGATGGACACTAAAAAGTCACTGTCAATCTGTACACTGGCCTGTGGCTACGGGGTTCGTGGGCGCGACGCGCTCCCCTGCACGCGCTACTTCCCTCAGGCCACTCACTTGGCGTTGCTGTCCTCTGTAACCCGCTCCCACTCCCCGTGTTGAGCCAGGTCTTGGGGTGGGGCCTGAACTAGGGTGACACAAGGTTCGAGGGACTTTTTCTGAGTTCGTCTAAGAGGAGTCCGCCAGGAGAGGGAGTGTCAGGAACCATTCTCCAGACTGGATGTCCTTCGAGTTTGCGCAGCGTCCCCCAGCAAAGGAAGCTCTGAACAGGGCAGCCCGGGGACAGAAAAGAACTTGCCTTTGGCTTTTCTTGGGATGTCTGTCTTCTCTTGGGAAGGTTGGGGCCCTGGCTCCTGGCTTTTGAGAACTAAGGCCATGACCTTATGATGGAAGGACACAGCAGGGCTGGCCTTAGGGACCTGAGGTGGGACACTGACATCAGGAGAGATCAGCCGGGAAAGGGGCCCCCTGCTGCCTGCCTGAATTCGGAGAAAGGCCTGGCTGCCGCAACTACCTTTAAGGGTCAGCTGTGGTTTGAGAGAGGACCCCAACACTAGGCTACAGACACACACGTGCGGGACGTGTCCAGGTTGGAAACAAGCCTGAGTTATGACAGCTGCGCCAAAATTTAGCTCCCGGTCCGTAGACTTTAGTCCTCATAGAGTCAGCCGGGCGCTGTCCTGCCTTGTGGCTACAAATCTGTCCATTCCCAGGTGGGAGTTGGGGGAGGACCTGTTTAGAGCTCCTGGGGACTCAGACCTCCCCCACAAGAACAGAATTTAACTCTCCCTCCTGGAGGGAGTCTAACAACCACATGGGCAGAACTGACCAGAAACCGGCCGATGTGTTTAAGGCCAGTTCTCCCAAGGTAGTGCCCATCTTGTCTCTGAAAAGACGGGTGGTGGCCAGGGCCTGTAGATTGATGAACCAAGAAGACAGACAAACAGACACACACACACCCCCCACACTCTACCAAGATGAGCCTGGACCCTGGTCACCCCATTTGAAGCCTGAAGGCCTGAGCAGGGGTTCTTGGGCTCCAAAACCCCATTCCAGCGGTTCCTGAAGCAGCATCTTCTGCACAAAGTCCAACAGAAGGATTGGTGTCCCACTTAGGTATAAGAATGGATTCCCCACCCCCCACTGCCAGCAGAGGCCTTTGTTCTTCTCTTTGGCCCATTGCCCTGGAATTGGCTGGCACCAATATTGGTGGCTCAGGCACTAAGGCAGAGCCTGCCCACGCAAGGTCTCTTTTCAGGGCCCCTTTTCCAGCTCGAGGCAGAGCGTGAGTCCTGGTCCAGGGGGGCCTGTCGTCCCAATTAAATGGGGAAGAAGGTCAGTATTTGGAGGTGCCACCTCGGACACTTAGGCAGGCTGTGGTGACCGTGAGAAAGAAAGGAGGGCCGGGCAGTGCTAGTCCTTGGACAGCATCCTTGGGCATTCCATGAAGGGCAGTGGTTCTGTCAGACCCCCTGCCTAAATTGATGACCACCAGGCTCTGGGGTTAATTGCTCAGAGGGGCAGGTGTTCACAGAGCCATCTCTGTCCTAACCCCTGCTCAGAGCTCTCTGATGATGTCCCATGAGAGGGCTGGTGGCAGGCGTCGCGTTGACAGAGCAACCAGAAAGGCTTGGGCCTTCCACAGCCAGGCCGTGAGCCAATCTTCTTGGTCCATATCAGCTTTCCTATTTATTAATAGTTAACAATGACGCCCATTAACTCGAAGTCTGGGCAGGGCGTTGCTGCTCACCCCTTTGGGAGAGAGCTGTCCTCTGACCGTGGAGGCCCGCTCTTTGTTGTCCTGACCCAGAAGGCAGCCCTGGGGTGCCAGCAGGGCGGACTGTATACCCAAGAGACTCCAGGCAGTGCCGCCTGAGTCCCTGAGGGGGCCGCAGTCAGAGGGTCGGTTAAGGGGAGACAGTTCTCTGGTCACTGTTGGCTGACGACATCAGTCTGCCAAGTTCAGGCCCGAGGTCAGAGGTATGTGCTTGAGAAACGTCCTTGCACAGTGGGGTTGAAACTGCTCTTCCTTGGGGTGTCTTGGTCTGAAAGCAGAGGTCCCCATGAGCCCTGAAGCCTGTTCTGTTTTCAGATTGGTTGGTGGGAAGGCGTTTTACCCGCACAGAGTCAGACCTGGCCCGTGCCTCCTTGCTGAGCCCATCTCCGTGCTAGACCTCAGACACCTCAGACCCTGTCCTGGGAGGGGCTGCACTGGGCCCTAGCCAGGGCTGCGTGGGTGATGACCTGTCCAACCCCCACACCAGTGACACAGTGGCCTTCCCTCTGCGGTGGCTGGTGACAGCATAACATTCTGCTTAGCCTCAAACTGACAAGACGAGGGCCAACAGGGAGGGAGGCTGGGCGCAAACTTCTGCCTCTTTCTCTGAATAAAAAGCTCTTTGCTCGACCTTAGTGACTAGAGTCTCCTGTCTTGGAGATATCTCAAGGGCACCTCTACGAAAGCCTCTTTTCTTCCATTTCCTGTGGGGGAGACCAGTGAGTGTCACACGCAGGCCAGAACTGTGCATGCAGAGTCACTAACTACACCCTTCTCTCTGAGTCACCTCCTATGTGGGATTTCCAGCAGAAGGAAAAGGCACCTTTCATGCAGGGAGCATTTATTGAGCATCTACCATATGCCAGGGAGGTGGGCATTGGGGCAAGAGTGCCCAGGATTGAGGGGTTTGACTTTACAGCCCCGCCCCCCACCCCTGAATGTCATGCACATTACACAGAAAATAACCCTCAGTCAACCCACACACGTGCCTCCGCCACAGGGTGTCCAGTTGGGGTTACAGCCTTTGGGAAAGGGGCTGGGCGTCCTGAACAGGGCCCAGAATAAAGAAGCCCAGCCCCTCGGAGAGAGAGTCCCTTGACCTGGGACGTTCAGAGGATCGGACGGCTACCAAGTGCTCACATGATCCCCAGCACAAGCTACTTTAAGAAGCTTGTTCACAGAAAGAAACAAGTGACCCAGGGGACCACAGAGTCATCTTGAAGCAGTCAGAGTTTCATTAAAAGCATATCGACCATTTGAGCAGGTCTCTGGAGGGCAGAACAAAAAGGAATGGCTTCAGTTAACAGAGATGCGCTTTCAGCTGGCACAAGGAGGCGCCTCCTCCCAAGATGACCGCCCCCACTCCCCGCAATGGACCCCTGCTCAAGGGAAGTGGGTGCTGCTGGCTGCGGGGTCTCCCTCCCTTGGGCCTGCCCGAGGCTTCTGAGAAAGAGAAAGCAGCCTCCTCCTGGGCTGGCCTGGCCTTTACCCTGAGGGGCAACCTGCCCCCTGAGAGAGCCTGTCCCCAGGCCTGGGGCCATCTTGGGGTGGGTTCCCGTGTTGCCTGCTGGCTCTGCTTCCAGGCCAGCCCTTGGGCTCAGCCGGGCCACCAGCACTGGTGAGATGTGGTGGGCAAGGCAGGAGGCTTCAAGTGGAGCACCCCTTGTGGTGTCTTCTTTACCCCAAAGATCAGGAAGGGGCACCCTTATTTAAAACCCTTTTCCTCCTTGGGCTAGTCAAAGTCAGTATGCCCTGTGGCTGGCCTGCCCTCTCTGTGCCCTGAGGTGGAGGCCCACAGGGTCACAAAGGCAGCTTTACTCCTGTGGGATGTTGGATGGGAGGGACAGAAGGGCTAGGGAAAATTGTACTTCCTTGGCCATACGCAGGCTAAAATGGAAGAGATGGAGGAATTGAAGCAATAGGCCCAGCAAATTCACAGACAGGTCTAGGATCACATGCGAGGTGGTTTCCAAGTGGAAGCCTTCCTGCAAAGGGAAGCCCAAGTCTGGTGGAGACTCCAGGGGGCGCAGGGCTGGCTGTCCTCACGCTGCCCGTGGGCTGTGAGTGCTGAGCAGGGCAAGGGCCAGGGATCAGCCTGCTACTGTGGGAGGGCGGTTCTCTGATCACTCTCTGAACACTGCCTGGAGGAGGTGGGATGTTTCAGGTGTTAGAGGTGAGAGGGATTTCCCTCTCATTTGTCTGCATGGGACCAAGGTGGAGGAGGCTGCCAGTATCCTTGGCGAAGGTTCAAGGGCTGTCTGGAGGGAGCAGGAGGTGTGCAGGGTACCCTCACCAGGAGAGGTGTGGCCATTCATCGTCTCCCTCCCCCACTGCATTGGCCCCCTTGAAGGTTCATGATTTTAACTTACCCACACCATCACTCACAGGTTGGAGGGGCCGCTGGCTCACCCACCACCACCAAGGGGCTGGGGATTCTTAAACCTGGAAGACTGGAGATTCCTACTAAACTGCAGGTGCCTCGAAGGCTCACCCGGCCCTGGGGAAGCACAGGAGCCATGGCGTTGGGCTTAAGGCACCACAGTTTCAAGCTACCCGAAGTTACAGAAAGTCAGCGGCAAGCTGACAGCAGCTGGTCTCCCAGCCCTGCTTCCGGTTGGTGGGCAGGCCCAGCCTCGGGCTCAGTGGGTGCAGATATCAGAGGGAAAGCCCCCAACCACCTGTTGTTCCTCAGATGAGGGCCCCTTCGGGGATCAAGGAGGGCTGGGAGTGCAGCACCCAGGAGAGGGAATCCTTGGATTTCAGGAGACAGCACCTCGGGAGCTTTTGACAAATACTGATGATTAGGCCCCCAGCCTGGAGAATCAGACACAGCCGGTGGGGTTGGAACATTCAGTCAGGGTGCAGGGACCACTGGCAGCATCTTGGCTGTTGGCAGCCTTGTTAATAAACTGGCAAGCTGAGGACCAAGTTTAGCCTCAGACATGCTGTATTGGTCCCCACAGTGATTTTCACAACTTGAGTTAGTTGCACCTCATAAGATCCAGGAGCTTACACTGTTGAAGACCATACACACTCCTCTAGCTTGTTCTGCAAGATCAGAAGATCCTGAAGACAGACCTCGGTCCCATTAGGCACTCAGGCCATCTTCTGTCCATTTTCCTCTTACTGCTCAGCCCATTTGGCTCTCACAATAGTCCTGTGAGCTGGACACGTCACACTAGTATCCCCATTTTATACTGAGGTGCAGAATCTCTGAGGCGTGCTCACGGTCAGTCTCCTGGCTAGTTGAGAATAAAGCTGACCCCAGTATGGCGCTCACCCAATGTGGGACCCCAGCTTTGAGGCTTTAAATGACTCGGTTTACCTCTCTGGGCCTCAGTTTCCTCAGATGTAAAGCAAGGTGGTTGAACCAGCTGATTTCCAGGGGCCCTTCCAGCTCTGACATTTCACAGACCCTCCTGGGAACCCTGCCTGGGTTGATAGAGGTTCTTGCTTCATGGGTGTTAGCAACAGTTGTCTCTTATATGAAATCCAAAAAGAGCATCTGTTTCATGATGCGTCACCTGACAGGACTCCTCTACCTCTCTCTACTCACCGTGTGGTTGGGGAGCCACCCCACTGGCAACACCGGCATCAGCTGGGAGCTTGCTAGAAACACAGACTCTGAGGCTCCACCCCGACCTGCCGAATCAGAATATGCATTTTAACAATATTCCCCAGGTAATTTGCACACTAAGGTCTGAGAAACCCTGGTCTAAGGGAAAGAGTAGTATACTGGTTTTTCCTTGGAATATTCAGATACCCTGTAAGAAATAGGCTGGCAGAAACCTTCTTTTTTTTTTTTTTTTTTTTGTGAGGAAGATCAGCCCTGAGCTGACGTCCATGCCAATCCTCCTCTTTTTGCTGAGGAAGACCGGCCCTGAGCTAACATCTATTGCCAATCCTCCTCCTTTTTTTTTTTTTTCCCTTTTTCTCCCCAAAGCCCCAGTAGATAGTTGTATGTCATAGTTGCACATCCTTCTAGTTGCTGTATGTGGGACCGCCGCCTCAGCATGGCCGGAGAAGCGGTGCATCGGTGCGCGCCTGGGATCCGAACCCCGGGCCGCCAGTAGCAGAACGCGTGCACTTAACCGCTAAACCATGGGGCTGGCCCCTAGAAACCTTCTTTCAGGAACAAATCATTAGAGTTTGGTAAAGTCCTTTGCTGGATATATCAGTATATCAAAATCAATAATTTCCATATAGTCCAGCAAACGATTAGAAAATATAATGAAAAATATTTCATTCACAAAAGCAACAAAAACTATAATACACCTTATAATTAATCCAACTAGAAATGTACGAGTTATATATGAAGAAAACAATAACACTTTTCTAAACATCACAAAGAAGACCTGAATTAATGGAACAATATCCCACATACCTAGAAGGGAAGACTCAATATTGTCATTTGGCATAATTCTCCACCAAATAAATTGATAAATTCAATGCAGTACCAATCTAAATCCCAATAGTTTTTAAAAGTTCTATGGACAAGAAAAATGGGGGTGGGGGGAACACATGCCTACTACATATCAGTATGTACTGTAAAACTATAATAATTTAAGTGGCATGACATTGCATTAGAAGATAAATAAGCAAATTAAAGAGTCCAGAGACCCAGATATATCTGGGAATTAACAATATGATAAAAGTAGCATTTCAAAGCACTAGGGAAGGGTAGATTATTGGCCAAGTTGGAGCTCTACATTATTGCATCCCCCAAAATTAAATTCCAAATAAATACCTAATTGTATAAATAAAGCCAAAAATTCTAGAAAAAAAACATAGGAGAATATTTCTATATTCTTGGGGTGACATGAAACCCGGTATCCTTAAGGAAAGGATTGACAAATTTGGCTACATTAAAATCTAAAAGTTCTAATGATGAAAGGCATCTTAGAAGTTAGAAAAATACAGACTATGATAAACAATTTGCAACACATAACACGACCGTCTAAAGACTACGCACAGAGTGGTGGCAGCGGCTGCAGTGAGGAAAAGTGAAGGGTCCAGCTTTCCTCCTGACCTGAGAGGTTTTGGGGGCGGAGGGTCACAATGTCAGGGAAAAAGCAGGCGAGACTTAGGTTTTCTGAGGGAGGACGATGAGTTCAAGGAGTTCCCTGTGGAAGACTGGGCTGGTTTAGGTGACGATGAAGATGCACATGTCTGAGAGGATCATTGGGATGATGACAATGTAGAGGATGGCTTATCCAATCAGTTATGAGCTGAACTAGAGAAACATAATAAGATGGAGACATTATAGCATCCAGAAGAAATGTTGAAGTAACCTATGCTTGAACTATTTACTAAATTCTAGGACAGAGAAGCCAGGATGAGACATTTAAAACAATATGTTTATTTCATTACCTGCTTGGGTATATTTTTGTTTTTGTAACACAAAAAATAAATGTTTCGGTCTAAAAAAAAAAAGTTTACTCACAAATTAATATGAAAAAATAAATGAGAAAAAAGGATATGAACAGGCAATTCACAGGGAATAGTGAATTAACATAAGAAAAATATTCGGTCTCACAAACAGAGATGCAAATTAAAACAATGAGATTATGTAACCATTAGGCTGGCACAAATCAAAAAGATCTGTTAGTGGAGCATAAATCAATGCCATCTTTTCCGGAAGCAATTTGGCGCTAGCAAAATGTACCTACATTCTGACCCTGTAACCCCCTACTGGGAATTCACGTCTCAGAAATACTTGCACACGTGCAAAGATATACGTCCTGGAGAGGTCGTTTCTGCCGTTTGTAAGAGCAGCTTAGGCGGACTCGCGCTTGGTCAAGGTCTGCAACGGGGAGATGCCCAGGCTTTCCACAGAGAGCTTGCAGTTCACCAAAGGGATGTGCAGGGTGTGCCTGAAGATGCAAGTGCAGATAAGTAGCCGGCCAACTCTGCCTGTGGTGGGCAGCTGCGGTAGGGTGAGGATAAAGGGGGGGAGAAGCTATCTGTGAGTGAGGTGCATGTTTCCATAAGTTAAGGCAGATAAGTAAACTTCTGCAATTATGAAATCTTTGATGATTGGCTCATCATTGAATATAGGGTGCCGATGTAGGTATTGGAGTCCAAGGACAGAGTCACTTCCGATGCTGCCAAAGAGCCTGAGAGGAGGGGTGTGATCATTTATCATAGCCCCCCAGTATTCGTTTCATCATCAAGCACAGAATTAGACTACATCTCGATGGATGGAACTGGGTAACTTTGGGTAAGTCTCTTTCTCTCTTTAGAAAACAGCAAGTTGGGCTGGCCCTGTGGCTTGGTGGTTAAGTGCGCGCGCTCCGATGCTGGTGGCCCGGGGTTCGGATCCCGGGTGTGCACCGAGGCACCACTTCTCCGTCCATCCTGAGGCCGAGTCCCACATACAGCAACTAGAAGGATGTGCAGCTATGACATACAACTATCTACTGGGACTTTGGGGGTAAAAAATAAATAAAATCTTTAAAAAAAAAAAAAAAAAGAAAAGAAAACAACAAGTTGGGCTCGGGATGGAATCATAAGCGGCTGAGTTCAAGCTCCCGTCCTGAGTCCATGGCCAACATCACCAACCACTGTCAGGACTTCCTGCTCATTCTCAACACTATGCCCTGGGTACCCACCACTTATTGATTAGGGTGGGCATTTGAGATAAAATCTTTTTTTTTTTTGAGGACGATCAGCCCTGAGCTAACATCCGATGCCAATCCTCCTCTTTTTTTTTTTTTTTTTTTTTTTTTTTTTTGCTGAGGAAGGTTGGCCCTGAGCTAACATCCGTGCCCATCTTCCTCCACTTTCTGTGGGACTCGGCCACAGCATGGACGGAGAAGTGGTGCCTCGGTGCACACCCGGGA